CAAGAAATTTTGCAAGAGTTTTCACTCCAATCTGTGCCTTTCATAAATCATCACAAAACTGTATTTGCACTCTTCACCATTTTCTACACACTGTCATGGTCCTCATGTCTAAACTGGCCATTTGATTTCCTTCTCCCTTCCTTTTATTTTGCCACTCTTCAAGAAGTAGACTTCCATATGTGAGAAGACAGGGTCAGAAGAAGGATTCGTAAACAGCCCAGCTTGCGGCAGCATTCTGTATCTCAGCACACTTTGGAGAATGCTATCAATTTCATGTCAGAACACAACAATAACAACTATCAGTAAGAGCTGTAAATGATAAAGTATCTGGTAAGAGAAAGTTACCAAAGATTTGCAAATAAAAACTGAAACTCTTTTGGCTTTTGAGCAGAACAGAACTGCCTCTGCATCAGTATAGTAAAGATGTGCTGAGATAGGAATAAATAAGGTATGGAATACCTAAAGGCCAAATTTTGAGATGCGGTATTACATCTGTCTCCTTTAGACAACGATCAGAAATGGAGACGGCTCAGCACATCACAGGATTTTTCAAAGGCAGACCTGGCAGTAGGACTTTTAGATTTTAATGCTTCAGGCATAATCTTAATTTACATCAAGTAATGCATCTGCAATTAATTTAACTTTAGTTGTCATGTATAATCAACAAATGATTATACACACAGACTACTGGTTGTATGCTCTTCTGCATTTGCATAGCATTGCTGTAACTCACATGCACACACATCAAGTCAAAATTACAACAACATGTTGATCATTATGCTTACATTATTAATATAATACATTTTTCCAAAATTCCACATGCAGAAATTTTCAAACTGGAATGCAAAAAATATTTTTGAAGACCAGCATAATAAAGTACTAGTTACATTTCCAGAGGAAGCCAACTTGTTTAGAGACTTTTGCGAAACTGAGAAAACTTCATGACCTGGCAATTTAACATTAACATGGACTTCACAAATACTATTCAAAACCTTCTTCTCTGGAAACAGAAAATTGCAAATACTTTAATATAGATCACAGTCCCCACAACACCTCTAGAAAAAGATCCGGGAAGAAACACTTGCAGTAGCACACTTAGTGTTATTCACCCAGCTTCACATGCATGTTGGAGTACTCATATACAACTCAGTTCTCTATGATAATGCTCAGACCCCCACAGCAAAATTACATAAATGTCAGTGGGGGGAAAAAACCTGAACCAAAAGTACTTCATAATTTAGTATTTTTAAAATAAAATCTCACTTTACTTTAGAAATTGGATAACATATTCCAGTGCTTTCAGATTAATCAGAGAATCATAGTCACATGTAATTTGTATTTATGTTCACCCTAAACCCATTCTATGGTTTTTTTACCACAAAAAAAACCCTAAGCAGAAGAGGGATAACAGATTAGGTATTATAAACTTAAATAAATAATTTTCAGTATTTTAACTTTTATATTTCACAGCATCCATTATATGGATGCTCACAACATCAATCTGAATATTTGTGTCAATATTTAGAGAGAATATGGGAAATTAAACTTTCCTATAGACAAAATTAATACATAGCCTTAATGAATTTGCTACATACAAGGTCTTTTTTTCTTAATTTGCATCAAATGGGAAAAAAGACAATAGCATCTATAAATAGTTATGAAAATAGATATAGATGAAGTCAGCAGTAATTTCCTGACACAAAATAAAAGCAAAAGTCAATGTCATTTTAAAGATAAATGTGATTTTTCATACCAATTAATAATGCTATAAATCCCACTGCACTGGATTGCAAATAACTTCAGCTGAATAAAATTGCATGACATGGGATTTACTTATTCTCTATGTTCACAGAAACAACTTGTTCTCTGACAGCACTCATTCTTAGCAATTTATTGCAGCTGTCAGCAGCCCATTTGTTCAGATTAGTGCTATGCATAAAGGTGTAACATTCATGAGGATTTATTAACTGATTATCGTAAAGGTGACAGTCAGAATTGCCTTCAAAAACATAAATGATAAGAAAGCTAAATAATTACATGACGATTAAAATCACCTTCATTTTGGTCTTAGTATTACCTACATAAACTTACTGCAGTACGTTTTTAATCACAGGAGCATATTGACTCAATATAGAACATAAATTATTTGCTGACAGCAAAAACATGTGAATATTAAATACATTCACACTGAAAAATATATACACATAGATATTTCTCCTCATCAGATGAAGCAATAACTAATGCCACTTATGCAAGTCTATACATTTCTTTAAATGCTGAAGGCGGCCCATGTGGCTTTAGCTCCGGATGCTTTCAGTAAAAAGAATTTCTAGATCTCATTTTTTGGTCCTGAAATGTTAATTGCTTTTTTTAAAAAAAGCTATATTCAGAAGGATGGCAGAATTTATCTACTATAAAATGCAGCTCAGTTCTAGTCAAGAATAGTGTTTTCTCATACAAATCAGCACATGATTGGAAATATATTTTCCTCAAAGCTCTTGTATGAGGTCTTTTCCTAGGCTTTTGAAATACTGAAATAAACACTGAATTGGTTCTAGGGTTTGGGGTTTTTAGAATATTCTGAGATGGAAGTTCACAAGGTGCTACAACCTTTAAACTCTCATGGAGAATGCACAAAATTGAAATTCAATTGTATTTTATAAACACAAAATGTTCCAAGTTAAGAATGGAAATCAACCAGACAGTAGTTCATTTCAGACACTGCCATACTGAACATGCCTGGGCATCAAGATGAAGACAGAGCTGTATGCTACTTCTGTGACAGACATCTCCTTTCACTTTTCTGAACTAGGATGCTATGCTGTCACTCTGACTCTTAACACCTTCCTCCCTCTCACAAGAAAGACCTTCCTTCCCTCTTACAGGGGGATCTTACAAGCCACCCCTTCCACTTTCATCTTCGCCATCCGAAAACCAGAATCTCACTTCCATGTTCTCAACCCTCTCAAACATCTTTCCTGTATTTTCCTGACCTCAGAAATGGATTGCAAGGCGTTGCAAGCACACACCATTGCTACCATGTCACATTCCCAACTTTCATCTGTCCTTACCATGCTCCAGCCTAACAAGGACAATAATATATACAAGGCCCACAGAAGCCTATGTTCTTGATTTCCCACTTCTTTAATTTCACAAAAGTGCAGCTGAGACATGGTATTATTCCGGAAGAGTTTGAAGCATTCTGATTTGGAATAGAATTTGCAAGTAACTGAGCTTAGCAAATTAAAAACACAGGTTTTCTGTGCTATTTTTCAGGAAGATCTTGGAATTTTTCCCTTCTACCTTCCACCTGGGGAACTTTTTCTGTTTGGTCAGTTCTTCAATCTAGTGTGCCTTGTCCCTAGGCACATTTTGGCCATGGAGGACATCTTCAAGAAATAGTTGTTTTAATTTGCATTTAATAGAAATATTCTTACATAACATTACAGCTGCTGTTTGCACATTATTCAAGCAAGCAGGAAGATCACAGCAAGATGAAATGGATTACCCTCCATTCTTGAGCAATGATAGAATGCTACCAGGAAGTCTTTTGTTTCCCTCCCACAACCTCATCATCACTTCTTCTGGAACCTGAATCAAAACATTAAACTTTTTATGTGTATCTTGAAAGCCATAGACTTTAATCAAGGAGCACAACTCAGTTGTGCTTTTAAAAACTAACACACACTTGCCATAACACACACACAGAGCAAGCCTGTAGTGTGTGCAACAAAATATTTCCAGCTTTTAGGGACAGCCTTGAAAGGAGAAACTGGGGAAGAGAGGTCAGCATTAAGTGGAGCTGTCAGGTGTTGGTGATTTTTATCTGCAGTGACTGGAAAAGAATATCAGGGAGGGGGAATATTAAGACCTATTTTCGTATTCAGATTGAGCTTGACAAATGACAGTTTTACATGGAAATCTCCTTGGAGAAGAATTTTTTTTGCAGGTTACATTACCAGAGATAAGGTACCAACAGAAGGTGAAATGAGACAGTGTCTGCAAGGACAAACTGAAGAGGGATTATATGTACACCGACAGAGGGGTCAAAAAAATCAAGAACAGCAAGATTTCAGCAAGTGGTGCTTCGATGACAATGCTCTGAAAAATCACTCATGAAAACTTTAAATCTCACCAGATTTTCATAAGAAGCTTGGAATGAAAAAAAAAACCTGAAATACTTTCCCAAGGTATATAACATGTTGAATTAGGACTAAATTAGTACATTACCTCAAAATATTGATAGTTATCATATGGTAACATGTGAAAGTGATGGTGAAAGCACCTTCAATAAAAATAATAAAAATATATAGAATTAGTAGTTACTAATTATTAATACTATTATTATGAATGCATGGATATCAAGGAAAATATGAAGTAAACAAATACCTGAGCTTTCCAAACAGCACTTACTTTGTAGTAGCTACAAGCATGAGACATTTTTTTCCCCTTTTAGCTAACAGTTAATGCCACCTCCTATTTTGTAAAATAGAGCACAGCCATACAAATATAAGCTTGTTGAATTCCCAGACAGATTCCCTTTCCCTGAATATGAATTAGGTGAATGATCCTTTATCCCAAAATATGTGTGTAGTTGTTCAGTTCTGTTTTCATTTACCAAAAAGGCTGGTGCATAAATTTGGTCTCAAGCATCAAGTCAAGAGTTGTTTCTACTACAAGCTGGATGTTTCTGTATGGAACCTCCTGCATCTTAGAGATTGCTCTAAACAGGGGATTTTTGTTTTAAAAACCTGAGTCTATCAATTGGTAAAAGCTGCCACCTACTGGTCAATAAAAATTATATTACATCATCAATGTGAAGAATTGCACCAATGCATTTGAACATTGCAGAAAATCCTCCCCAGACTTAAGAAAAAACCCAAACAAGAAACCAAGAACAAATGGTCATAAGAAACAGTTTCAAAGGCAAGGCTCATTTTAATCATCCTCTCACGGACTTCTCTCTCCCCACAGACCAAGAAGGCTAGAATTAGACAAACCTGCCAATGAAATCATCCTTTTTGCCAACATCTTTGTCCCACACGGTAATATCAATAATTCCACCTCGTTCTTCATAGAGATGAAAGTCAAACTGCTCCCTCCACTGAGGATTCAAAGTTTTTGGAACAATCTAAAAGGAGAACAAAAAGAAAGTTGCATTACATTGCGACACTTTCTTAAATTGTAAATTTGCTCATTAGAGTCTGTTTAGGAAGCTTTTTCGGTCTGCAGCATCAATATCTCAAGCAGTGAGAATTAAAAAATAGTGATTAGGAAAGACTGCTAGCCAGCTCTCTCATGCCTTTCTGATGTTACAGCAACCTCCAAAATCCTGTCACCTTCAAAAGCCTCCTGAACGAAAAATTTGTCCTGGGAATGGAGCCATTCCTCTGTAGAAAAATTATGTCCTCTGTGAAATGACAGTTAACTAAAAAGTTATGTTTCTAAGTCCAAAAAGAAACAAAGCACCTGCAATGACACGTAGATGGTGACTATAAGTACGTAAACAAACAATTGTATCATGTCTTTTTTTTCCCAGCTGTAATAATATTGGGAGAAATATGATACTACGGCTTACTTTCTATGGAATAAAATTAGTTCACTTCCAAAATTGTATTTCACTTTCTTTCCTTTGAAACTCTGATGACAGTAGCTTTTTAAATCATTTTTAGTCTAGTTATCTCTTAATTCAATAGATTTCAGTCCATACATTTCTTACCACACTGTGAAGAACAGAGAGCTTGAAGAATTTAACGTAATGCAAAAGCAGTATTCACTGTCCTGAACATGAACAGAAGACCCCTAATATATGCCCTATTTAGCAAACATTAAGCTCTACAACCACCAGTCTTCCTGGCTTGAAGAAAAAGAAAATTCAGAAAGGATAATGAAAGTTTTTAATTCATGAAAGCATGAAATTTGATTTCTTCTAATTTCAGATTAAGAGGCCCTAGTGCAGCTTCAGAGGTCTAAAAATATGACAAGCAAATGTTCCTGCCCTCCTCTTCAATTTACCCTTCATTTGGCCATGAAAACCATATTGGCTGTCATGGACATCAAGAGAGGAAGGTCATGTGCATCATCAGCAGTCCCAATATCTTCCCTGAACAGCAATTTTCAAAATGGTAGGGACCAAGAGAAAAAAATAAAAGCAACAAAGCCAAGCAAGTCTTCACAACAATTATCTCCCAGATCAATTCTCTCTACCTGTGAAGCTTATATGTGAAGAAAACTTTAATGAAACTTGTTAATGAGGACATGAAAAGTGAGCTTACAAGCATGACATGTTTTGAGGATAACACAGTGCAAAGGGTCAAAGAGGCACTCAGCATCAAGCCAGTAGGATCTTGTCAGACTCATTCTGCATCTCTTCCCTGCCATTAATGACCCCAAACAGTAAATAAAAGCCAACACAGTCTGTATGGAACATTAGGTGTGTCCCCCTGAACATTTTTCAGTGCTACACTTCTTCCTATCTAGTACCACTTTTGTTTATAATGAAACAAAAAAAAAAACAAGTTCCAGGTGCTCTGACAGGTAATTATAACAATAAATTCCCATCACTATTGAAAGTCCTACAAGTTAAAAAAACACCAAACAGGAACAAAGCATTAAAAAAAAAAAAAAAAAAAATTCAGTCACAGCTACATTTACCTTGCTCTTGTACTTCTGATGCCCCAAACGAAACTTCACGTAAGGATCACTGAGCCCATTTGCATCCATTGCCTTAAGTTCACGACCTTCTATTAGGGTAACACTAACAATCCCTCTCCATAACTGAGATTTTCTGTGCAGGTCTGAGAGACGTAAGCTCTGGGTCTGAAACTTCAGGAAAACAAAAGCATAGATTTAGTTAATGCAATTCCAAAAATTTCCCCTGATTTGTAATGTTCCGTTTCTATGTAATTGTTAATATAATTATGAATGTAAAACAACCACCTTAAACCATTTTTAAGCTATTTGACAGTATGTATGTAAACTATATTACAAAGAATTACTTGGAGAGAAATAAAACAGTGACAATTACACAGGTAATGCCATATGCTGCTTTTGCAGATGCAAGCAGAACAAATGCTGCTCAAGAAAATGTTCATTTTTAAAAAAGGGTGGTTTTTCTGCTTCACTTCATCCTCTGCTAATAGAATAAATGTGAGAAAGTCTCTTCTATTAGCAGCATATGATTGAATGAATTTGAACAAACTCAATGTTTCTAAACATAAAACCCCAGTGTGAACATAAACTTCCCTTAGAATAACAATATAAACCACAATGAGAAACATGGATCAAGGAAAAATAATTCAATAAACTCCTCTATCTCTGCTTCTGAATCTGTGTGATATTCTCAAAAACATGAATTAAGTACCAGCACATAAGTTCAAGAGTTTGAACAGAACCTCTGTTTAGAATTGTGTAGGGACTTGTGGACCTGTGAATGCTCAGCCACTGATTTTGGGGGTTAATAGATTCACACACACAAAGCAAGCAACTACAGTTTTTTTCAATTAACTCCACTGGGGGTTTGAGAGCAGGAGGATATAAACTTGAGTAATTTAAGATCATTTCCAGTTTGCTCTGATCTAAAATGGGTACAAGGTGCCACAACTGAAGAATCACCTTTGCATTCTTGAGGATGGCAAATGTTTCTTTGGTGCATCTGAGAAGCAATGTTGGTAAAGGCTCTCCCTGCTATTCTTAAACTTTATTCCTTCAAGGCTACCTTATCTACAGTCAGAGCACTAGATAGCTAAACAATATTTCAACTTGAAAATTATTTTGTTTAGGAATCAAAAAAAGCAAGTCTGCATGTATACTTTGCTATAACTGTAACTTTATTACAAAGTGTAGTTTGAGCAACAAAGGCTTTGTGGGCTCAGCAAACTTCCACACCTGCAGGTCTTGCATGCCTGGCTTCATCCCCTGCAAACCTCCACTCTGTGCTGTATAAGAGGGTTTCAGGGCAGGTTTGGTTTGAGGCTTTTAGATGGTAAACTCAGCTGGATGGCTACAGCTATGCAGATGCTCAGGACAGGGATTTTACTTTATTACCCAGAGACAATGACAGGGATTAGACTGGACTATAAACACACTCATCCAGACTCCATAGAGAAGAGACATGAGAACTGTGGCCACTGGGCTTGGAGCAGATTTGATTAACATACTTTTTGCAATATATCAGGTATTTTTTTGGCATGCAATTGTGTTTTCTAATGGCTATTCATTCCAAGTACTATGGTTATTCCCAAAATATTTCACTATATTTATTAAAGGTTTCTCTTCCTGAACTGAAGGATTTGACTGCAAAGAAACATCTCACAAACTTGCTGTTCCTACAAAGGCAAACAAGAAACTGTGTGTGGAATACTCTTTAACTTAACCTGCGACATGGAGCATTGGTGGGACATCAGAAAGCAGACTCTACAAAAATTAGGGCAGAATTGGGAAAATCAGTTGCCAGAAGAGATTTCATTTACAACTTGGGAGCATTATATAAACTTCAAGTTTTTTCTAAGCACAAATACACCTCGTGTTGAGGGCATACTATCAACATTTCCAAAGACTTGACTTGTGAAGAAGTGATATTTTTTTTTCCTCTTGTTCCAGTTTATTAGAAGGCTTAGAGCAAAAGACTGGATAATAAATAACCAACACTGATTCTGCCCTGAACACAAGATGATGAGAGATACAGAAAGAAGACCAGACATGTTTAGGAAAATATTTTATACTGGGAAATGAGCAGTAGTTATTTCTGCAAAGAATATACAGTTCTTGGGGGTGTTTGAAGAGCTGAATGGGAATCCATATGATTTTCAGGATTCTATCATGAGTTTGCATTTACAGCTCTTTTGAAGTAAATCTTAAGCACACTGCATAGCTCTCTTTCTAGATTTTCTTCTTTTTTCACTCATACAGTGAGACAGTAAAAAATTTAGAGTATACTTCATCTAAATTCTGTATTTTCAGTAGCTCTTAAAATAGTTTGCTGCACTAGAGCATCTGACTCATCATCAAGCAAGGTGATTTTTTCTGACCAGTCAGGAGCTCAGTCAGTGTGGGTAATTTCCACACAAGGCAGCAAGGCTGGCTTGATCTAGATGACCAAGAGCTGGGTGTAAAACGACAGACAGGCCAGACAGGAGTTTACACGAGTCACGCAGGAGGCTGGAGAACAAATGTTCACATGCTGCTGGAGGAAGCCCTCCCAGCCACATCTCGCAGTCAATGACAATTAAAGATTTATGCAGAGCCCAGTGGCATCTTGACTGACAGTGAAGCTCCAGAGACTATGTCTTGCCATCCTGGAAGAGAAGCAGCCAGGTGCTAAAAAGAGGAATTGGTTGGTTGTGGCTGTTTCTTCCTCAAGGTAGGGAATGTGGACCACAGCAGCGCTCGTTTCTTTCTTTATTGGTAACACACAGATACATGGAACAGCAAAAGGGAGATATACTGAAAGAATCAGAGTACAGCTTGCTGGAGAGTCAGAGAATAGCTCACTGCAGCTAAAGCTATTGAGATTTCCTGGACATGAAAGGCATAGGCTGTGTGGCCTTCTCCAGCAAGAGTAGCTTCCAGCTGGCACCTTCTGTGTTTCTAAGCAAGACTGAAGGGAATCCAACACACTTTTCTTCCAGTTGAAACCACACTTATTCTCAGAAATTACAGATAAGTTACTCACATAACCTCTTTTTTTTTCATATAATGGTTCTTATAGGCAGAAAAACAAAAAAAGAATGTTCAAATTTCAAGTCAAATTTGACAAAAAGTTAGGAGCTAAAAAAATAGGAAAGTAAGACCTATTTCACATTTTAAAGTTCTTTCCTTATGAATTTTATTTCACAGTGTGAGACAGGCACATTTCTAGGTACATTTCTGAGTATCTAAGAAACCTGTAAAGTCCAGCCCACAGTGAGATACAAATCGAGAAGAGTAACCATGAGAATAAAATAAAGAAATTAGCATGTATCTATCTCAACTTCTGCTATGAAGAACTGTTTCTCAATACTTATTCTTGGGCAACTTGCTTCCCTCAGAAAGCATGTAGTGAGTATTGCAGCCTAGATTCACTTTTGTGCCGCAACCAGAAAAAAAAACCAAACTGCACAGCTTTTCAATTGTCAGTAAGTAGGTGGAAAGTTACAAATTTCATATAAAATGCCACCATTTGGAAAAAAGCGAGATCAAATTCTCAGTCTACAACCATCATTAATATGGGGCTATTGTTTACATTATTCACATTTTTGTGCAGGATGTAGGCATGGTGACTCCCACCTGACATGTTCTAAACCCCCCAAAAAGAGGGGGTGGTGCATAAATTGCAGCGTGCATGCAATTAAGTTTTCTCCCTCTCACTTTTTCCAAAATGAATCTTAAACTTGACTTCTGAAAATGAGTCTTTCATGCCAAAAGATGCTCAAAGCTGCCTGTGAAAGAAAAACCACATATTTTGATATCCACACACTGCTTTAAAACTTAATAAACAGCATGCAAACACAGCATTTTCTTATGTTAAAAACACAGCTTTTATTTTTGTTCCACCTATTCTGTGTAAATGTAACGTAGTGGATGGGCTAGGGGCATCAACAGGAAAGAATCTTCTGACAGAATTTCTCCTTCTGCTAGATGTGATTAATACAGATTGCCAAATGTCAGAGCTGAAAGATGATCTAATAATCATGACTTAATATTCTGCATGCATTCAGGTATTTCTGGATAACATTAAAGGATGGGAAACTAACTAGGCTTAGTCAGAATTGGGGCATTGATCCCAGGATAATCAATACCACATTGTTGATGAGCTACTGTCACTTTTGTCTAAAGAAGAGATGCACTTTGTTGGTATTTTTGAAAATCCGCTATTTCTGTCTGTTTCTTTGGGAAACTAAGTGTCCTCTGAATCTTAGTCCATATTGAGTTGGAGAAACTCTACATTGTCCTCTCCCAGCCAAACCTCATTTTTCCATTGATCAGCCCTCATGCCCTGTAAAGTACAACCTCTCCCACTGGCATGTGCTTGGCAAAAGGACTCTGCTTTTATTAAATCTTCTCCTGATTACAAACACCCCTAGGACACATTTCTCCTCTGAGTCCTGGAATGCAACAGACAGAAATAGAACAGTCTACCACAAACTTAGTAGCTTTTTCAAAAAGCAAATCAATAATCCACTTACATGTCCTGCAGAGGCACTTCTGATAAATAAATAAAAAATAACTTTCAGATAAATAAATGAAAATAACCTTGGTTTCAAGGCTTATGTCCTAGGGTGACTTAATGATACTTGTATCCCAAATTGTCTGTTCTGTTTATGCTGGATGTTAAGTTCTGCACATATAAGATGGTTCCAAGAGCAAAGGGGGAGAAAAGAAGCCACAGTTTGTTTTCAGAAAGAGCACTCACTCCTCTGCCTTCTGCTCCTGGGCTGTGCTGTCTGCAGCACGGACAGACAGTGGGACAGAGCTCTCCTTTGCTGTTTTTAGCCAGCTGAGCCAGTTGAGAAGTTCCCTGACTATTTTTTTTCTTTTTCTTGGGTCTGTTCAAACCTACTTTGGACTGAAAACCCAGACAAACACCAGGAGCTCACACCTGTGGCCCACCAGGGGCTAGGATGTGGCAAATTCCAGCACCAGAGGGACTGATAAGAGACTGAGCGGGCTGAGCTACACCCCACAACAAGGACTTTCTGCATTTACCATCTCTTCAAACAGTGAGAGGTTTTATTGTTTAATATTATTCATTTTTTTAATGCTTGTGTATAGTTTGCTTGTTAAATAAACAGGTTTTTTCCATTTTTCTCCAAAGAAATATTTTCCTGAACCAGTTAAGGGGAGGG